AAAAAACGCTGTCCTCATTGGCATTGGTATTCGCATTACATTATTATAAGCCTTCGCCATTGTACTTTATGGATGAAATAGATGCGGCACTTGACTTCAAGAACATCTCCATTGTGGCCCACTACATAAAGGTTAGTCAAATAATAAAATAAAATGTATAAAAATGTATTTTTAATTTCCAATAACCCACCGCTATACAGGAGCGCACCAAAAACGCACAGTTCATCATCATTTCCTTACGTTCAAATATGTTCGAATTATCCGATTATATTGTGGGTATATACAAAGTAAAGGACTGCACTGATTCTGTGACGATTAAAAATGTTCCGCCACCCCTGCCACTCGCACAAATGCAAACACAGACACAGACGCAGTCACAAACAACGATCGATACTAACTCGTTGTTTGACCAACTCAAGACCAAGTTGCCCGCCTTACAAGTTATTCCATTATCGCCTTTAGAAGAGAATTCGGAAAATGCGCCTCCATCCCAAGAACGTGAAACCTTATCTGTAGCACCAACGCATGGTCGCGATACTACTTTTGCGCCTCCTTGTGAGAGTACTGCCCTATCGCAAATGGTTCAGAAGGACCTCGGGAGCGATACAACACGTTCGACAATATCGGCTGTCGGCACTAGTACCAACAGCAGTATTACTGACACATTCTTCAAGAAACCGCTGCCGCCTGCTCAGAAAGCAACATCTTGAGATGTTCACTATTTCTTTTTTTTTACTTTTTTTTATAAAGCCCCTCCCGTTAAAACAAAATTATTACGATTACCTAAACTTATAAATATTGATCTGATTATAAGAATTTGTAACGGTGACTAATTTACGTATGCATATATTTTATTCATTTTGGTTTAAAAGCAAAAATAATAAATATAACCAAATTTAAGCATGATTTTTTAAAACAACGTTATCAGAAGTCTCACTCACGCGCTGTCCAGCCCCATAACGATCTTTTGACAAATGTTAGCTAGCGCCTCGATCGTTGAATTTTTTATGTCTGTTATATCTTCGCCGGTATCACACGCCTTTGTCACCTGTGGATCTAGCGGCAATGCGCCTAAGTATGGCACCTCCATTTCGGCACACATTACCGCTGCTCCACCTGTCTTTGCCGGGAATATTTCTGAGGTTTGTCCACAATGCCCACATCGGAACGCACTCATATTCTGTACTACGCCCAATATTGGTATACGCTGCTTCTTACAAAAATTGATTTCCTTTCGCACGTCTAACAACGAGACCTCTTGAGGAGTTGTCACAATCAATGCATACACCGCTTTCGGTGCGCTGTCATCACGCAAATATGATACTATTGACAAGTGTTCATCTGATGTACCTGGAGGAGTATCTAATATGAGCAAGTCCAGTTGTCCCCAATCTACTTCACTTAAAAATTGCCTAATCATGCCATTCTTCTTCGGACCACGCCAAATAATTGCATCATCAGGTGAGCCAAGAAGAAATCCTATAGCCATCAAACATAAGTTGTCATCCACGCCAACCGGCGACCAACCAGAACCAGATTGATGTACATTTTCGCCCTCAACACCAAGCAATCGTGGCTGTGAAGGCCCACAAATGTCAACATCCAATACGCCAAAGTTAAGGTCCGAATATACGCGTGCTAAATAACGTGATAACAATGTAGTCGCCGTACTTTTGATGTCTCAAAATGTAGACGTCTATATTTTCAGACACAATTTGGAACGAACTGTGAACACCCCACATGATACAAAAAAGAAGGTAGTTTCAATAAACAACTTTTGACGGATAATAAAATTTTTTGAAGTTTCATAAATTGTCAGTATTATCAACGGCCTTGCCACTTTGATAATATTAAAACAATACATCGGAGTATTTTCTTTCCCTTAATCAGTACTTGATATTTTTTTACTTACGTGGTTTGCCCCTCTTTTATTAAAAATATATAAAATGTAAACTGTTACATTGTAATTATTCTTTTTATTTTATAATAAAAACCATTAGTGCATTATGTTGTTATTTTTTTAATTTTCTTATTTTGATATACAATTTTCGTTTCTTTAATCTTGCGATTTAAAAATCGAATTCTAAAGAATGTTCTTCCCAAATAAAATCTTTTTATAATATTTTGGTCCAAATTTACTTTTAAATTTCTCATCAGATTTTGCAAAAATTTTGGCTTTGTGGTTACCCGCGGAGTAAATGCACATTGCAGACGATATGCTCTCCATGTTGTAGCGATGTAATTTTGACTTATTTTCCAAATTTGTTTCGCTTGTTTGTGCCTCGAGCACTGCGATTTTGTTTTCCAACGCGGATATTTCTACTTGAAGCTCAGCACATTTTAATTTGTACAGATCAAATGAATCGCTGTAAACACATATACATACATATAATCATAATTTAAAAAGAAAACCTTTTATGTGTATGGTATGTATGTATGTTTTCATTTGACATTTTATAAGTTAACATAGTGGAAAGCGATAAAAATCTAGTTTTATTCGGCATTATAAAATCGTGGCAAAGAAAAAGAACGATTATTATTAATCAGCTTTTAAATACTGATGCGATTATTTGGAATTTGAGCGGAACAGCTGATCTCCAATTCGCTTTGAGTGAGAGCGGTGTTTATACACTTGGGGTGTTCACAGTTCGTTCCAAATAGTTGGGGTGTTCACAGTTCGTTCCAAATAGTGTCTGAAAATGTAGACGTCTACATTTTAAGACGTTTTCTAACCGTAAAATCTGTGGTGTTGTTGTTTCCCATACAAAATTGGAAAACGACGCCGTCTACATTTTGTCACACTCAAAGGTATGTTTTTTACGTGTCTACATTTTGCAACCTCGCAGCAGGGTTGCATTATGGCAATACTAATCACATTTTTTTTATTTATTGGGCACGTTTTTTGTATTTGCATTTAATTTGAGCGCAATTTCTGATGAAAAGAAACAAATCAAGGAAAAGAAATAACAAATATTAGGAATTGGTAATTAAGTTAAATTATTACAATTTTTCAGAAACAAAATCGAAAGGCGATATATAAAAAATGCACGCAAAGAGGAAATGTCTGGCAACACCAGCAAACTTTTGAGACGATTTTGCGACGACTGCTAGAAAGGGGTGCTCACAGTTTGATGCTAAAGATGTATCAAAATGTAGACGTCTACATTTTCAGACACAATTTGGAACGAACTGTGAACAGCCCAAGTGTCTCAAAATGTAGACGTCTACATTTTAAGACGTTTTCTAACCGTAAAATCTGTGGTGTTGTTGTTTCCCATACAAAATTGGAAAACGACGCCGTCTACATTTTGTCACACTCAAAGGTATGTTTTTTACGCGTCTACATTTTGCAACCTCGCAGCAGGGTTGCATTATGGCAATACTAATCACATTTTTTTTATTTATTGGGCACGTTTTCCGTATTTGCATTTAATTTCAGCGTAATTTCTGATGAAAAGAAACAAATCAAGGAAAAGGAATAACAAATATTACGAATTGGTAATTAAGTTAAATAATTACAATTTTTCAGAAACAAAATCGAAAGGCGACATATAAACAATGCCCGCAAACAAGAAATGTCTGGCAACACCAGCAAAGTTTTGAGACGATTTTGCGACGACTGCTAGAAAGGGGTGCTCACAGTTTGATGCTAAAAATGTCTCAAAATGTAGACGTCTACATTTTCAGACACAATTTGGAACGAACTGTGAACACCCCAACTCTTTCTAACTGTCTGGAGAAATAAACTACCGATTTGAAATGGAGTGTGAGCAGCGTTGCCGTTTTGCTTAAAGTTAAGCAAAATTGATAAACTTTTTCTTGGCTGTTAAACTGTTAAACTATTCTTCGTTTTGCTAAACTTTTTCATTTAAATACATAATCTAAAATAAAAAGGTATTTGCTTCAAAATATTAAAGTTCTTTAGTTTCCTAATTCGATCAAAGAAGTAGCACTGATTAATTTCATACAATTGGCCACCCTCGACAGAAGTCGATTTTATAAGCACATACATATGTACATAAGTATTCGAAACTGAAAACAATTTCTCATCTCTAGTTAGCTTTCGGTTTGCGCTCTTTTTTTGGCAGACTTCAATCGTCCAGAAGTGAAATTTTCTTTTTGTTGTCCTCATGGATAGGTACCCTACAAGAATTGTGTGATGGAAACTTACACATTTTCATTTATTTTACTAACACATTTGCAAATTTTGCGTTGGTTAAAAGGAGACCAATATATAAGGCCATAAGTTGGAGGAAGACGGAAGATCATATGTACACAAATGTTTACATCAGATTTTTCACACTGCCCTTTAGAATGTGATAGAAACTTGTAGGTAGCCAGTGACAGAAATCTCTATCAGCCTTGCCAGTCAAATGATTGGTCAAATGATAGTCACTGTTCTTGCAGGGTAAGTATGTATTTACCCATTAGAAGATAAATAATGAAAACGTGCAAAATTGGTATTCATATAAATATAAAAATATGTATTATAAGATTTGTAGAAAAAAAGCGCGTGATTGCAAGCAATTCAACCAACGAAGCACAATGCGAAAATGACAGGGAAAGCAGGTAAGCGCATTTTTATACATATGTATACGTGGGTATGTTTTATATTCAGAATGTATTTCTGTTATATTTTTTTAGTGAAACTGAAACTCAGACAGGACTAAAACGAAAATTTCGTTCTGAGTGGTTGCAACAATTTACATGGCTTCGAAATAATAATGGTTTAGGCTTTTGTATCGCCTGTGAGAGGCCAATATGCAACAACGTAAGTTTTTTAAAACAACACGCAACTTTTCGCATGCATGTCCAAAATGTTGAGAAGAAAAAACATCAGCTTAAAATTGATTCTTGTATGAACCAAGAAAATACAAAATTCATGAAACAAGTACACCATGCAGAACTCACATTGGTGATGTTCTTAATATACCACAATTTACCCTTCGTGCTTATGGATTATTTACCGGAACTTTTAGTAGAATGTTGCTGTGACTCAAAGATTGCAAAGTCAATCAAATGTGGAAGAACGAAAGCAACTGAATTAGCAGATTTATTGGGTAATACAGCAGCAAAAACAATTTTGGCTCAATTGAAAACAACAAAGTTTTCGCTGATCGTCGACGAATCGACTGACGTTTCTAGCAAAAAGTCATTAGTTTTAGTTGCGAGATATATGGATAAGTTAGCTCGTAAGGTCAAAGACAGATTTCTCGGGTTAATTGAGTTAAGTGATTGTAATGCGAGCTCTATATATGCGTCCATAAAATTTTTTTTTGATAAACATGAAATTCCAATGGCAAACCTTATAGGTCTTGCGACCGATGGCGCAAGTGTTATGGCTGGAGAAATTAACGGCTTGCAAGCAATATTTAAAAGAACCACCGACCTATTTTATATGAAATGCAGTTGCCACTCACTACATTTGTGCTCGTCGTATGCTTGTAAAAAACTTCCATTGGAAATCGAAAAACTTTGTCGCAATATATATACTTTTTTTCACACAGCTCAAAGAGGATATCCGAATTCAAAGAATTCCAAGAATACTGCTCTGTTAAGCCCCATAAAATATTAGGAGTTTCATTAACAAGGTGGCTTGCACTCGAGCAAGTAGTAAACCGTATAATTGAACAGTGGGGTCCTTTACGCTTATATTTCGTTTCTTGTTACTTTGAGGTTAATGGAATTCGGGCTGCTGATTTGGCACACATGATGGATGATGCAAGTTTCAGAGTATATTTTTTATTTTTATCGTATATACTAAATATCATTAATGGGCTAAACAAGGAATTTCAGTCGGAAAAAGTTCGACTGCCCTACTTGTTTTCACATATTGAAAGTAATGTTAAATTGATACTAAGTAACTTTGTAAAAAGTGAATATATTTTGACTTGGCTAGATTCCTTGGAGAATTTAAATTTATTTAAAAAAGTAGTTATTTACCAACGCAAGAAATTTTTATCGGAGCCAAAGCCGAGCTGTATTTGCAGAATAGCCATTTGTCGGACTCACAAAAACTTGATATAAAAACGAATATTTTAAATTTTTATTTGGAGTTATTGAAGCAGATTTCGCAGCGGTTTGACTTTGCGAGAGAAGACTTACGAAACTTATCTACCATAACTCCTAGTAAAGTGTTATCGGATTCGCAAATATGCATAATGCCTTTAATTTCCAGTTTCCCTAACTTAGTTAATTCTGACGCGGATAAAATAGTTACACAATGGAAGTTATTACGATTTAGCAATATTGAACTTAAAGGCGACATGGATATCGTCGAGTTTTGGGAAAAAGTTGCCTCTTTTCGAAATGGTATGGAAGAGTTATGTTTCAAAGAGCTTGCTTATTTTGTAAGTAACTTACTGTCCTTACCGCATAGTTCAGCCGCTGCTGAAAGAAAGTTTTCAGACTTGAATTTAGTCAAAACGAAATTACGAAACAAACTTGAAATCAGAACTATAAATAATATTATGTTGTCAAAAGAATTATGCGTAGGCAAAGTTGAATCTCTCTATGTATGGTCGGCAAAAGACATTTTTTAATCAATACAAACTTAAAAAAACATCTTATTCCGCTAAGGGATAAATTTAAGAATGCAACGACGTCTTTGCGGAAAATTAATTATACTTTAGACATAGGCACATTTGTACGGATGCCTTAAAGGTGGAGTATTTACTATCGCTTCATGAGTTTTATATTATTTTAGAAAGACTTAAACTAAAATTAATTTAATATCTAATTTGATAAACTAATATGTATGTAATTTAAAGTATATGTATGTACTAATACAGTTTGCGTTACATAGTTTTTAAAACTACTTTTTATTTTGCTTTCTTTCTTTGTTCGAAATTGTTCGTTCCTTACATAGTCTCTGTGCTGTGTTATTATACCTACAATAAAATTATATGTACCCATATACATATATATACATTTGGAAAAAAGTTAGTTTGCTTAACTTTTTCGAGAAATGTTAAACTTTTTGAAGGATTTTGATAAACTTTTTTTTCCTGTCGCGGCAACACTGAGTGTGAGCCAAAGCACTTCGCTCTTTCAAAGCGAATTGAAATTCAGTTTATACATATGTTTTGAATCGCGGCGAAATGAATTAAAGCGACTTATGCATGCGTATAAACGTAGTATATTATGTTTGTATATCTATGTACATACAATGCACGATCCCATACAATGTACATATGTATTTCTCTTTAAAGCTGATGCCAGATAAAACTTTGTAGCTTTGCGTGACATTTATAACTTTGCCAGCAAAGCGCCAGACGCAAAAGGTATGCCACAATGAACGCCAAGAAAACAATGTTGTACCGCTTTTTTACTCATCAAAGTTGCTGTGGATTTTAATTATTTTGATTTAAAATTATCAGCAATGTAATTAAGTTTTATGTTTCTGCATGAAAACCCGAATTTGGACGAAACAAAATAAATATTAAACCGGCTGATTGCCAAAGTGCGCAAAAAGATGGGAGTTGACCATCTTTTCGCTTCGCGCTGCCGCTTCAACGATTTATGTGGCATGCTTTGTGCATTTTCATACAATTCATCTTATCTGTCAAAGCGAATCTGTCACGTAAAGCGAAGCAAAAGTTTTATGTGACATCAGCTTAAGCGCTGGGTTGTTACAAATAAATTGCAAAGCTAACTAAGCACTGGCATATAATCTTTCGTCGTGCTGCTATTGCACTGTATTTTTCATTTCTGTACAAACACAATAGGAGCATGATTCAATAATACAAGGTTCGATAAACTGACAGTTGTCTCTCTCGCACCGCTCCCTTAAGGCCGGTCCACATAGAACTTTGGCGTTGGCTTTGGCGTTGGTTTTGATTAACAGCTGACTATGAATGCACACAATTATATGGGCATGCCCACATATCAACGGCAACGCCAACGCCAAAGTTAACGCACACAAAAAGATGGGCATCTCTCATCTTTTTGCGCGCGTTGTCAATCAGCTGTTGCAAATAAATAAAATTATGTGAAATGTTTTTAATTTTTAATCAAATGTAGGTAAGAAATATCATTTTTAATGCAATTATTGATATGAAATATTAATTTATCTGTCGTTAGTATGTAAATCTAGTGCTCAAAGCGTTCGCTGCCAAGCGTTCATTGTAGCAAGCATACTTTTAACGTGCGTTCTGTCAAACTAACGCCAACGCCAAAGCCAACACGAAAGTTCTATGTGGACCGGCCTTTAGCAGTGGCACCGTGTTGCTTCTTTGCAAATTTACATGGAAACAGTGTAGCTTTGGGTGAAATAAAAGTTTAAGCTTTTGTGCAATATGTTTATTTGTATATGCATATGAAGCATATTTAACTGATGAAAACATAAGCAATGGACGTTTACATCAATCTCATAGTAGTCTTATTTTAATTTTGAGTCATTTTGCAGTTTAGCATATAAATTACGTAATTCACGTAGATATATCAATATTACGTTCAACATTTCGTTTAAAATGCCAGATTTCCTGCAAATACATTAGAATTTACGAAAGGAACTTCACTACTAATTGCCTACTTTGCGTACTTTTCTACTACCATTTTCGAAACAAGGGATTGCATTCTTGCCCTTTCTCTGGCCTTCGTAAATGCAACCTTTTGTAAGGGAGTGTCAAACCGCAGCTGT